ACATTAATTATAGTGGATTATAATTCTAAAATTATTTAATTTACTTTTTTTTATAATAACAAAATTGATTTTATTTAAATGTAATTTAATTAGTTTTTTCATCATTTAAGTATGTTGGTTTTTCACCCTTGCTTCATTCACGGCGGTGAATTTTGATTATCCTCTAGTGCGGCGAAAGATGTGATTTGGGGAGCCCTTATTGGATATTATTAATGTTTCAAACAAGTCATCATAGCTCATTCAACAAAACATGTGATATTCGAGTGGTTTTCATTTTAGTTGATGTGTCCCGAATAGGATTTGTGTGGCGTTGCTCCCATCGTTTGACATTTTATTTGGGTTTGATAGAGTCGATTGTGGTAGTTCTTTTTTGGTAATTTCAATCCTTCAAATGTATCAACACAATTCATTTTGCAAAACAATAGCATTTGAATATTGCCGATGCAAGGCATTTTGAAATAATTTTGCACAACAATGCGCCTGTTAACCAGCATTCTTTTGGTGTTTGATCAGGTCAAGCTATGTGATGGACCGGCTGAGCCGGTCCATCCGAGACCCTTGCGGGTCTACAGGAGGCGATGGGGGGGGCATCCGGTCCGGGTGAGCCAAAGGGGGGGGCGGCCGAACCTGGGGAGAAAAGGGAGAGGGTCACGGTGGGCCCTTGGGGCCCACTTACTTAAATCCTTGGGCATCAAGGGGGGAGGCCAGGTTTTGGGGGGAAAATGGAGGGTGGATGATGGGGGGTAATTTAGGGATGAGCGGGAAGTTGTGAGATTGTATGAAAGGAGCCATTAGGGTTTATTTTGGGCATGATGTGAAGAAAGTTCTTTCTCGTTCCTTCTTGTTTTCTCTAGGGTTTGTGTTGGAGATTTGGTCCTTCTCGAAGTGACTAGCTTTGTCTTTTGTTTTGTCTTGAAGATTAATGCAAAGCTCTTTTGTTCTTCCTTCCATTCTTCTTGTTTTGAGTTAACTTTGATTTGGTGGAGAACTTCATCCTTGAAGGAAATTAGGGCACCCTAATTTGTGAACCTAAGGCGTATCAATTGGTATCAGAGCTCTGATCCTAGAAGGCATGGCGTCAAAGAAAGTAGAAGTTTTGGAGGGAGAGATGGGCCAATTGAAAGAGGAGGTGGGTGAGAAACTTCATTGAATGGAGGGCGTGTCGCGGAGGGACACCTGACCTTCAACACATTTCTATTGTCTCGGATAGAGACAAAGTCTTTTTGAGTTCATTTTGGAAGGAGCTTTTCAAGATGCAGGGCACATTCTTGAAGCGGAGTACAGCATACCACCCACAGACAGACGGACAGTCCGAGGTGGTGAACCGGAGCGTGGAGACTTATTTGAGATGCTTTGTTGGGGAGAGGCCTAAGCAGTGGGTCAAATGGCTACCTTGGGCAGAATATTGGTACAATACTTGCTACCATACCGCATCTCAGTTTACACCTTTTAAGATCCTTTATGGGAGGGATCCACCACCATTGGTGACTTATCAGAAGGGGACGACTCCTGTCTATCTAGTGGATCAATACTTGGAGGAGAGGGATAGAGTGTTGGAAGAGTTGAGGGAGCACCTATTGCGAGCCCAGCAGATCATGAAGACCAAGGCAGATTCGCATCGCAAGGAAGTGACATTTGAGGTGGGAGAAATGGTGTACCTAAAGTTGCGGCCTTACCGACAGAAGACTTTAGCTAACAGAAGAAGTGAGAAACTCTCCCCACGATACTACGGGCCTTTCGAGATCGAAAGGAAAGTGGGGATGGTGGCCTACCGCCTCAAGTTACCACCTCAATCCTCCATCCACCCTGTTTTCCATGTGTCACTATTGAAGAAGAGCATAGGGGAGAACATCATGGCCACTCCTACCATACCACGGGGCCTCACAGGAGATATGCAATTCTTATTAAAGCCACTACAGGTGAAAGAAGTAAGGAAGAATGATCAAGGCAAGAGGGAGGTACTCATCGAGTGGAAGGACCTTCCGACGCATGAGGCTACTTGGGAGATGTATGAGGTCATGCAGGAGCAATTTCCAGACTTCAACCTTGAGGACAAGGTTGATCTTCTAGAGGGCGGTATTGATGCGGTAAATCCTGGACCCGTGCGGGTCTACAGGCGGCAAGGGAGGGGGCGGCCGAACCGGGTGAGGCAAGGGGGAGAAGTCACGGTGGGCCCCATGGGCCCACCCACTTAAGTATTTGGGCATCAAGGGGGGCGGCTGGTTTTGGGGGGAAAATGGAGGGTGGATGATGGGGGGTAATTTAGGGATGAGGGGGAAGTTGTGAGATTGTATGAAAGGAGCCATTAGGGTTTATTTTGGGGGCATGATGTGAAGAAAGTTCTTTCTCTTTTCCTTCTTGTTTTCTCTAGGGTTTGTGTTGGGAGATTTGGTCCTTCTCGAAGTGGACTAGCTTTGTCTTTTGTTTTGTCTTGAAGATTAATGCAAAGCTCTTTTGTTCTTCCTCTCATTCTTCTTGTTTTGAGTTAACTTTTATTTGGTGGATAAACTTCATCCTTGAAGGAAAATTAGGGCAAACCCTAATTTGTGAAACCTAAGGCGTATCACTATGCATCGGATATCGAGGCCAACAAATTAACCTTATTTGTTGAGAGCCTTATTAGAAAAATATTAAACAGAGTGAGATAAACAAGAGGTGGATTTTTGAGAATTTGAAGTGCATCCATGGTGACACAGAATCCCTAGAGTTGAGAGATAGTAGGGAATTTGGAAAGTAAACAAGGATTGCTGTGCCTGCTAGAGATCAAAGGGTTTGTAGAATGAGGGAAAGAGGAAATTTGTCAATGAGAAATAAAAATTCTATCATCAAATAGCACAAAATTTAGATTTGGACAGAGTTCTATAACTGCTAATTACATAGACACAAGTATACAAAATAGATAATATTTATGACCAATTCCCAGTTGGTACGAGAACATTTGAAAGTTGTTCCGTGTTAGTATTAGCAACTTGCTATTACTCTTGTATTTTAAAGTATTGAAGAGAAGGGACGGCAATTCAGGAGCCACCATAAAAAAGGGCTTGAGCTAATCTCTTTAGTTTCTCAGTTGTCTTGCTTAATTGATTGCATGATTTCTGTCTTATCCTTTCTGCCTTCTCTTCTGCTTGACCTTGAGCCCATAAATTGAAGCTAGCGGCCACTTATTTCTCTCCATGCCCTCCACTTCTTACATTTTGAGGAAACTTATTGGTGACTTTTGAAAGCATTTGATCAGAGTCAGTTCTGGTGAAAAGAAAATGCGATTGCAAATAACAATTCATAATTTTAATAAGAAATATTTATATTTATAGTGTGATTATATTGTTCATTGTGTTACCTATGCCTTACAGTAAATGTAATGTTACTATATGAAAAATGGAGATCCTTTCTGAGGTAAGTCATTGAACTTGGAGTGGCCTCCGGCAGTAAAATTTTCTCTCTTTTTTTGTACATTCCTTATGTTTATGCTGGCATAATTAGTAATCATGGATTATTTTTCAAATTTTCACCTATAGCTAATTTTATTCTCTATTTTAGCCTATTATGCTGCGGTGGCTGGTCTTTATTACTCGATACATAGCTCAAATTATGGATTTCAGGTACTTGTTTTTTCACTCATTTTGTGTTATTATGTGTTTGTGCGTATTGTTTTTTTTTCTTTTTTTCTTCATTTACAAATCAATTTCTCTGTTAATAATGACGTTTTACTTCGTAGGAGACTACTAAAAGAATTAAATAATTACGAGTGACTCCGTTAAGTTTTTAATGGACATTGAACTTGTTATCTTTTACTATTTAGATTTGCCTTCTCCTTTCTCATCATTGTTGCTTCGTCTAGCCAATTAGGGGTATATCATGGTGATAAGAGTATGTTGATGTCAACCGTAGAATCTTGGCTGAATGCTTGATACTGGATTTTTTAAATGATTATTTTTGCTGCAGTGAAGCATAGATATAGATGTAACATAACCTGAACTTGTGGATGAAAAATATTTGGATATGTGGGCTTCAAAAATTCACGCCCCGGCCTCCCCGTTGTTTTTCGGGGGAGTTTTAACGGATTAAGTTCCGGGGTAAATTTTGGGAAGGCAGATTGGTTTTATAGATATGACACTACCCAAAGATTTTCGATGTGGACATCGATCAGAGGTTCAAGCATGTGTATCGCCGGAGACAGCGCAGATCGACGGCTGCGATTCAGAGCCTTTACTTTTGATGTATTTTATGTTTTATTTAGTTTGCATTTTCATTTCCTAGTTTACCCCTATGGGGAGTGTTGTCTTATTGTAGCCCAAAGGGCATTTGAGTACTTTTCATTTCTTTTGTTTAAAGACCTATATATAGTGGTCTCATGCTTTGTAAAAGGTTAATGAAGATTTGAATGAAAATTTTGTGTTTTGTTTCTACTTCTTCTTGCATGAGAGCTTGAGAAGGGAGAGAGCTCAAGGGGAGCAAATCGCACTCAAGGGGAGCAAATCGCAAGGCCCACCAGTCGTTGGAAGAGTCCGCGGCTCGTGGTTAAATTATTCTATCTTCTCGTTCGCGTTTTCCTCCATCTTCTTCCCCTCCACCACAAGAAAACCCCTTCAAAACCCTTATTGCCGCCGCCCCCCCTTGGAAGCCCGCCGCCGGCCACTCCCACGGCCCCGGCCGGCCACCTTGCCGGCAACTTCCCCCACCCGTCCAACCCCTCCCTCCGCAAGTTTCAAATTTGAAATTTGATTTTCAAATTTCAAATCCTTTCCAAATTTGAAAATCCAATTTAGGAAAGTTGCCATGATGAATTCCGATTTCAATTTAAATTAAATTGGAGTCTTTAAAATTTATTTCCACGTCATCACCCCAAATTGGAAACCCTCTTCCCTTTGATCTCTCCCTCTCCCCCCTCTCAACATGCCGTCGGCCCCTAATGGGGATTATCCCCATTAATTGCTACATAACTCCTTTCCCTCATTTTGAAATCAAATTGATTTCAATTAATTTCCCCTCCCAAAATTTCAAATCCTGAAATTTATTTCAGGATTAGTTTGGAAACTCCCTCCCCTCCTCTATTGAAACCCCCCCCCCCTTGTCTCCCCATTAATTCCCCAATCAATGTCGTAATTCCCTTGGATTTGAAATTCAAAATCCAAGACGTTTCCCTCTCTTTTTAATCAAAACTGAAATTAACTTTCAGATTTTGATTAATCTACTACACTCTCCACTAAACCTATTTTCTCTCAAACCCTAGCTCCCTCCTCCTTGCACCCGCCGGCCCCTTCCCCTTCCTCTTCCTCCCTCTTCAAAATGCAAGGGCTCTCCCTCACCACCACGTCTTTCTATTCTCCTCGGAGTTCTTTCTTACGCCAAGCATGCATGGCGGATCCCGAGTTTGAGTGGGGACTTGTATTCAACGCCGACGGAAACCTCAATATCCTACGATCCCCGTTCTTCGAGGTGGGATTTGAAGACGATGCCACCGTTGGAGATTATTTGGATCGAGTGGTTCCTACTCTTGCGAGCATCATCGACCGCCAACGTCCAAACTACGATTGGAGCATCAACAGTCGATCATTCCTGCTATCCTCGCCACTGTCAACCTTTCCGTGGTTCAAGGCTGTGGGGGTTGCTACCGTCCTCGTGGCATCGTTGGGTTTGCTAAAGACCTTCTCCCGCTAAGCCCTACTTGAGTGTGAGTGAGCAAGGTAACTCATCGTGAAATTTCTAGACATTAGCCGTAGGATTCTATTTTACTTCGCATTTGTTTTATTGTGATAATTTCAAGATCTATCGCCAATTGTGTCTAAACATCAAGATTGTAATTGATTATCATAACAACTTTGACAATGGAAAACTCTTAAACCTCACCTTACGAAATCTTAATCTTGAACTAGTATACTTTGTGACTCTTTATAAATTTCACGTGCAATTCTTGATTGTATCACATCAATTTCGCCCTCATTTTGCGAGGACTTTAGATCTGAGTTCTGGTTTCCTATAGGCGCAAGCTCCTATTATTAATTATCCCTTCCGATAACGAGAGAGAACTTTTGATTAAGGCTAGTCGTCAATCAGATATGTAGAGATACGTGAATCTAGCATATAGTATTAGCATGGGCTTAGGGTGAAAATTGTATATTTAAAATTAAAAATTTACCACCTTACTCTTAAAGCGGATGGTGAGGGGATGGATGATGGACCAGATCAAGATCTCATGGTTTCGTCATCCCGGGTCATCATGGTCCCTGCTCTACTTAGTCAGAGAAGGTAGTCGACCTAGCCTGACAGAATGATCATTGTCGGCAGCCATGGGTTGCTTCATCCAAGGGTACCTTGTAGACTTGGGGTGAATATTTGTCTATGGGGACATTTGAATCCACCTTAGCTAACAGAGGGCTTTGTGCCCTATTAATTATATGTTATTGATTCATATCTCAATGATTCGATGCCATTGGGGAGCATATGGGCTCTGGCCATGATTGTAATTTAGTGGTGTCATTTGGTGGCCAACTATTCGGTTCAGAGGGCCCCAGTCATAATCGTTTACCTGCGGCACCATTTGTTGGCAAAATTGTCTATTTGAGGACACGTGTCATGTCCTTGCTGGCAAGAGACTGTTTGAGAATGAATCCTAGTGATATGTTCGACCAAACATTAGTTCTTTGTGAGCTGAAGTGATGCTTTTAAATTTGTCCACCTCGACAAATTATTGCGGAGAGTGGAAGGGGTTTGCTTTAAGCATTTAATTTTTTTTTAATTTTAAATATTTGGATTTTGATATTTTGGAGTTTTTGGTTTTTTAGACTTTCATGGGTATTTGGGTGGCATTTCTTTGAGATTTGTTTGGGCCACTCCGTATGAGATTTTCTGTCAATACGGCCATCATCGGGGTGTATGTGATCATTTGAAAATGTTTGTGTTTTGTGGAAGTTTGAGGGCATTTGAAAATATATAGTCCCCTCTGGTTGGGATAAACCTTCAACACGCCATCATCGGTGTGTATGGGGTCATTGTACTTTGTTGATTGAATCTTGTTAATTCTATCAACTTGCCGACAGATAATCGGGTTCGTTGTCAGCTATGTTCTTTTATTAATGAATTTCTCTTGTTATAGGCCTTGAAGGTCTAACATGAACGTATAAAACAAATATCCTGGTCAATATTACGACCGTATATTTGTTTGATGGTTCGAGACGTGTCGACTCCTATCTACCTGTATAGAAAAATCGGACTCGAACTTAGGTTTATTGTCTGACTCGCGCAACATCCCTAGACGTCAAGTGTGTGCCCATAACATGCTTGTCAGGGCTCATGCAGGTATTTGATTGCATATGCACTTTGTGTTTATGTGTTTGTGTATATATTTGTAGTGCATGTGTGGGGGCATTTTTGGAATATTTGACGCCACTTGGTTGTGCGGGTGCCGTCATTTGAGTGCAAAATTCTATTTGGAAGGTCATACACGTCTTTTGTCCTCTTGTAAGGATGTTGTGAATTCGGTGGCGTGTAGTTGCTCTGTGGTCATTTGTCTGCTTCATACAGGTGGACTATCATGCGCTACTTGTTACTTTTTGCAAGTAGATTATTGTGCACTAATGAATCTCCTGCTATTGTAGAAGCTCATAGGAACCTGCATTTGCCGCATTTTTTATGCATTTTGCTATGGTCTTTGGTCCCTGTAATACATCTGCTACGGCTGCAGGTAGGCATGTAGATGTACTCATTCGTCGACTAAAATGGACTACAGGATATTGCATTTACTGAAGTCTTTTTGTATCTACTCACAGGTGGCATATGGTGCATACATCTGTATTCGTAGAGAAATTATATGTATTTTAGATCTTTTATCCTTGTTTGCATAGGGTTTAGTGTATTTTTTTAACACTGGACTCTTATTGACTGCAAAGATGTCGTTAGCATATACTACATGATGCTTGTTGTCATTCATAGATGGATGCATTTATGCATGAAGGGCCTCTTGCAGTGGCTTGTAGGAGCATGTATTAGCTTTTTTTTTTTCTTTTGCATCTTGCGTATGATGTGTATAATGGGTCTTCTATAGCGGCCCGTAGGAGCTTGCATCTGTTATAGCCTTCTTGCACTTTCCCGTAGACAATGTGCTGAATGTATGAATGTATGCCTGTGTTTGCAGAGGTGTCATCACCTCTATAGCATATCTATCAATGTTGCTTGCAAGTGACTGGCAGTTCTGTTTGTATTGATTACAAGCATGTCATAGCATTCAATGTGTATTAGTTATATATATTTGCAAGAGATATACTACTTGTAGATATATTGATGTATTCATTTCGTATTCATCATATGTTTGTAGGAGAGTAGCATATCCACTATTCTCTATCATTGATTGAGTATCTCACCTCACTTGAAATTCATTCTTCTAGGTCCTGTTTTCTTCTCTTTTTATACACTACCTAAAACATGCATTTCTTTATTTACACATGCTTATAAATAAATAAAACAAGCAAATATGAATATCTTACAAATTACCTCATTTGTGACCTTCATTTCATTCAAAATTCTCTATCGTCTTTTAAACTTCTTTCCCTACTTTCCTTCCTACATCTCATTACCTTAGAAATCAACGACTAAAAACTGCATC